CTATTTGGGTTATAAATGTATCTAAGAGAGGGATAAAGACATTTATTTTATAATACTCTTCTACTGACCCTATATTAATGTTAGGACGATAAGCTTGCCTCGATGCAAGCCGAGGGAGCAAATGTTAATCTCATATAGCTCTGCTTTTGACTCAAAAATAACATATAAAATATGAAATTCTTCAAAGACATTAGCCCTAATTTCTCTGAGTTCTAATAATATGCTCTCCGCTATTCTCATCATTTCAATCAAGTCTATGTTATGTTTTTAAAAATACATAATATATATTCTAATGAGAAAAAAAGTAAGTATTGAAACCAATGATATGCTTGCTTCTGAGGATATATCTCCTTCAGGTGTGATTTTTCAGTAAGAGCATAATAATCAACTCTTCTAACTCTATAGAAGCTGTTTTGATGGCAAAGACTCCATCTCGTTGGACAAGCTTTTTGCAATGTCTTTCTCCTTGTTGGACAAGGAGTTTCAGAAATAATTCTGTTTACAGAATCTCCTAAAATTTTACAAGACCACGAAAATTACCTTCATTATAATTATTATTGAAATTCAAGCTTCCTGAATCCAATGACAATGTAATTACGGGCCCTGCAATCCACAATATAGTATAGCCTCAATAGTTAGCTTGATCTCTATTTTCTTTTGCTATTTTAATCCTATTTTTGTCAATATGTGATAAAATGGGAATCATATCCCCACAATTAATTTGAAGAAATAATGGGTTCACCGCGTTTGTGATAAATTTGTTTTATTGTCAAAGATTTATCCAGCATCTTTGTACTTGTTGACTTAACTAACAGGACTCATAACTTGCGATAAGCTACATTGTCTCGGTAGAGAATTCTAGCCACAACCATCTAGTAAAATAGCTGTTTTGAAATTTTAACTTTCAATTAGCACATAAAGTTTGTGTGAAATTTGAGGGGTAGAATATAAATCTATTATTAAATAAAATATTAATCTTAGGTATCTTTATTACCTTTTTAAGAAGCTTATGTTTTACTTCTAGGCTAATTATGAAATGTTATAAAATTATTTGTACTTTTTTGCTTTTTTGTAAGATGACTAGGATTTTCATCATCATCAGTATGTTTAAAAAATTTCTTATGTCCATAATTATTATTTGACTAGAAAATAGACAAATATTTCGGCAAGAAAAACTTGAAATCGAAATTAATTGATAAAATAACTTAGTAAATGAATGTAATTAAATATATTTAAAACAAAAGAGAATGGATTAAATATTATAAAATACAAAACAATAACAATTTTGAAAAATTTATCCGGCATCTGCATTTTTTGGCTTGGGGGGAAGGGAGATTTGTCCCCCTGCCCCCCCCACCCCCGCTGCGTACGCCAATGATAATGATACGTATAGAATAATTTTATTGTTAAAAATATCATAATACTTATAAATTGAAGCAAATTATATATAAAAAATGAAACTTAATTTAGGTTAATTTAATAAACATTTTGGACATAAATGAGATATTATGATTTCTTAGCATAAATCCTAAATACCAATCATAAACAGCCATGAAATTGCCTTTGTGCGTTAATTCTTTTTTGATTATTTTATAATAGAAAAAATTAGTTAAACTTAATATATATTTAAAATGATTAATAGAATTATTTTAAGGATTTTTAATAAATCTAAAAAATGAATCAGTCTTAATTTGAATTTTATTGGATCAACATTAGTGTTGTTAAACGTCCGATTTGGGTCGATTAAGATTTTAGCCATAATAACATGTAAGATTAGAGATAGAAGTCCAAACTTTTCTTACATTTAATGCAAAATCTCGCTTACATAATATTGGCTACTAATCAAAATAGGGGAGACTGGGGTTAGGTACCGGGGCTTGGCAAACCACTTAATCTCATCTTAAAATTAAATACACCAGAAGGTTAAAATTTTATCATAATATAGTTTTGACTAGTTTACGTCTATAGACAAAAAATCTTTTGCAATAATTATTAAAAATTTTATTTAAGAAATAAAATATTGATGAAGTTTTTATAATTTGGGAAAGTTTTATGAGTATTTATTATATCCAGAAATTTAGAGTTAGCAGGGCTTGCTAAACCATACACGTCAATTATGGCAGTTAATAATGAAAAAAATACAAAATGTTTATTAAATTAACCAAAATTAAGTTTCAATTTTTATATATAACTTGCCTTAATTTACCCGCTATTGGGGCTTGTTGGACAAAATTGTTTTTTTACAAAAAGTAAAATTCAAAAAAAAATGATTATATTCTTAAAATTTTTTATAAGGAACCTTTATAGAGTATAGTTTTAAGTATCTAATCATATATTTTTTTTATATTATCTAAAAAACCAGGAGCTATAGCCAATTTTATAAAAATCGGTCCGACTAACCCCAGTCTCCCCTACCTTATAATCTGGTAAATTTGTCCAGCAAGGAAATCGGTATAAATATTGGTTGTTAATTTTTTTTTATTGATATTACACATTTAGTAAATAAAATTGAGATTTTTGTAAAAAAAAATACGAAGAAATAATTAATATGACCAACATTCAAAATCAATTCTATTTAATCATCCTTTTTTTTATACTAATAAATTTATAATAAATTGCAACTGTATTAGATACGCGCCGAATTGACGTTGCGCTGAATTGACGTTGCGCCGAATTGTCGCCGCACCGAATTGACGTTGCGCCGAGTTGTCGCCGCGCTGAATTGACGTTGCGCCGAGTTTTCTGCGTCGAATTGTCGTGCGCCGAATTTTCCGCGCCGAATTAACGTGGAACCAGCAGCATATTATTTTTTTTATTAAAATAACATCAAATAAATAAATTTATTTTCATTTCAAAATATAATAATATAAATAAAAAATATTAAATCATATCATGTTTATTTGTTGATAATAATAAAATATTTACATTAAATATAAATAAAATAAATTATTTTACTAAAATAAATAAATAATAATTAATACTAAGCATCGATGCAGAATTTTGACTAATTTAATTTTAGCAGATTTATATAGGCTTAGCCGATTTTTAGGCTTAGGCGTAGTTTTTAGCCGATTACGCAGTAGTATATTGCAAAAATTTTAATTATATTCAAATTGTTTTAAAATTATTTTCAATCACATTTGATTGATAAACATCAGTCAATTTTTATAAACTTTAGTATAAAGCCATTTTACAACATTTTTTAAATATTTTAAGCTTATAAATTATAATGCCACATGAATTATTTACATATAGTATTATAAATGACACATCAAATCTGATATCATACTGGCAATGCCAGCTACCCAAGTATGTGTGGAAAGATGTTTTTCAACAATTAAATTTATATTTTCTCCTTATAGATATAATTTGAGCGAGACGAATTTAAAAATATATTAATTGTGCGGCTTAATAAAAAAATTTTAAGTAATTGTTTATATTGAAATTAATCATTGATATATTTATTTGTTATATTTATATATTAAATATTATTTTATAATGTGCAATTAATAAAAATGAAGGTTTTTATTATAATTATGAAATAAAAAAATTTTTTCCTTATACAAATACATAATCCTAATGTAGGTTTGAATACAAAAGTGTTCAAACCTGTTTTTAGAGGTTCGAACCGAACCGTTATTTTTATTTTTTGCGAACCTAACCTGAACCTTGAACCGTTATTTTTATCTGAACCGAACCGATATTCGTTTCGGTTTGGATCCCTGGTTTAAAATAATTAACTTTTTTTTCCAATTTTGTTTTCCTACCTAGTAAATAAAATGTTATCTACAAAGCAAAATTTAAGAAAAAATATAAATTGAATCCTGAAATTGCTTCCATAGGAGACAAAGCAAATCGGCATTTTATATCTCTGAAATTTATTCAAAATTGAAATAAATGTGAATTAAAGATGATAAAACAAAAATGCTTGAAAGTTTACAGGTTGAACCTGGGTTACAAAGTTTGATCATAAAAGGGCATCACTAAATGTGTTGGAAGTAATTATTCATCAAAAAGTTGGATTTTATAGCCTTGGAATACCTCAACTGTGGTGTTCTATAAAAATATGCTCACCAGAAACATATTAACTTTTATAATCTAAAAATAAAATATAACATTAATAGGGGCAAATTATTTAACATGCCTAAGCATACACGAGGTAAAATTGAATTATAAGGTTTTATCATTCATACAAACACCGTTTAAATATTTCAACCTACACAACTCCTTCCACTCTTTAACTTAATATCATGAAAACTATAAATTAATATAATGAGAATAACAGAACACTATAAACCTTATTTTTATTTAAACTAGAGATCTGGATATTGCGGGCTGTTAAATTTGTGCACAGCCCGTTATAATTTATTTAAAAATTTGCCCGGATCTAATATAATTCAGCTCTTATATCTCTCCTCTGGCAATCTATTTCTATAACAACTGGTTTATATATCAATTGTTTGATATTGTATTATTATTAATAATTGGATACCTGTCTTTTTTAATTTTTTTCCACGAATTTTCCGACCATCACATTTGATATATATAATTTTTCCCCAATTTTCTGAAAAATTGAAAATTTGCCAGGCTCTGCCTGGTTTTTTATTTATAAATTGTCTAAATCCATATTTTTCCATCTTTGAGGATAGTGTTAAGGCCCGATTTGAGCCGATTTTTAAAAACGACCCGATTCACCATAATAATTTTATGTAAGACTGGAGATTTTGTACTGAGAAAGGGTTATATCTCTATTTGTCAAATTTTGAATCTTACAATATTATTTTTGCTAAAATCTTATTCAGGCCGTTTTTAAAAATCTAGCCAAATCGGGCCGTGAGCATAACATATGTTTATGTTTTTAACGAATTTGAGCATTGTAGTTATTTTATTAATAAAATCATAGCATATTAGTTTTAAATATGTAATGCTTATTTTTATATACACTATGCAATGAGAAAACAAATTATATTGTCTATTTATATTATATTTTTTTTTATTAGGGGTCGTTTTTGCTAGCTTGAGCACTGGCTTAGGCGACTATTCTTTCCTCAGTCTATCTTCTTATTATCACAAGTAAACAACATTTAATTTTATATCTTATCCTTTACATTAATTTTTTATTTCAAATTATATACAATTATTTTTTCGTAATTATTAGAAACATACTGTCTGCGTGGGCATCTGGAACAGGTTTAATTTTTTTTTATTGAAAACATTTTTAAAATAAATTTAAGGTAAAATAAAGTTATTAGCAATTTTATATTTAAAACAACGAAAAAATAATGATTATTTATTCAGTTGTTTAATAATAAACCTATAATTTATCTTTATGATATAATGTATATTTCAAGCTAAGAATTTTATTTTTAGGCGAGATATTTTCATAGGTACTCACCAAATATTAGTCGATATCGGCCAATATTTTTAATTTTAACCAGGGTTGTCAGATCTTTCACTTTTGGCGTAATCTCCCTATTTTTTACTTTAGTTTACGCCAAAACACGTCGTCTATTGATTTACGCTTTCTCCCGATTTTCCTTAAAAAAAGATTCTCTAATTTTTTTATAATAGAAAATAATTATATTATAGCTAACCAGAAACTTCGCTATCATTTTTTATTTTAATTCAATCATACATTTAAAAGGGCATCTTGTTTTGTTTATTTTTTTATTCCATATTTTGAGAAAGGAAAAACAAAGAATTCTAAATATTCTATTCTAAAACTTTCAATTTAAAATATAATAATTATATTAAATATCTTTTTATTTTATTTTAAAATAAAATAATTATATTAAATATCTTTTTATTTTAAAATAAATTAGTATGATAAATCATATAATAATTACCTAATCTGATTCTGATGATCAAAATGATTATTATATACGGGCGAAGTAAGTATTTTATATAATTTTTAGAAATCAATCTATATAAAATGATATTTTAGAATTAAGCAATTTATAAAATTTTAATAGTTTTATATAGCCTAATAATAATTTTTGATTAATTAAATAAAGTTTTCTCATGATATTTAATTTCTTTTATTCCATTAATTTAAATTATATATAATTTAGAGTTTAAAGACAAGTTTAACATCCAAAAAAATCTAAATCGCAATATCAGAATCAGAATACCTGGAATTCCATTTTGGGTCAGAGAAGCTTTTAAATGCAATTTGAATTATATGCAATACAAAATTTAATATCAGCCATGGAGGAGTCCATGATGTAAAAAAACATTTAACAAGGCATAAACATATTCCCAATTTAAAAAATTAAAAAATAAGGAATTATCAAATAATATCCAACCATACTTTTAAATCAATAATTTTTGATGATAATACTTAATAGCCTAAACGACATTCATCTATCTCATGATAAAACATTCACTTAGTTATTTGTCTACAGATTTCTGTATAAACTTATTGCATATACTCTTCCTGATTCAAAAATAGCCAAAAGCATAATATGTAGGAAGAACAAAAGCCTTTTTCTCAATTAACTGATGAATCAAATAATGGAAATACCAAAATATTCGCGCTATTTTATAAAGAAAGAGGTATTTCAAGTTACCTTTTAATTTTTTATCGGACTCAGGGAAATTGAGGGTATTGCGTCTATGCTTGTGCAGAGTTTTGAAAATTGTAACCTTTCACTATTAAATGGGACAGCCTTTTGTACCTTTAACGCGAGTGTGAATTTTGAAAAAGGGCATTAATGACGGGATTATTAATTTTGAATAAAAATATTATCCACATTGGTTGCCTGTGTCATACAATTTACAATGCAGGAAGAAATGGACGTGCTTAATTATCAATAGACATAGAAATAATTGCCATGAAATGTTACGCCGAATTCAGCAGATCCACAAACAGGGTGCTTTAAATTTTTTTATGTATTCTCAAGATATTGAATGGACCGAACTACAAATTGTTCCAACAAGATGGCTATCATTAATATTGGCTCTCGAAAGACTTTTAAAAATTATTTAGTTGTTAAATCTTATTTTTTATCTCAAAAAAATACCAATTCAAAATTAAAATTATTTTTTGGATATGTATTGGCCGAGAGGCTAATTAAAATCGCCAAAATGTTTAATATATTTTCTCCTGCTTTTTGTTTAAATTAATCTGGCAACTCTGATTTTAACCTATACTAGTGACGGTTACCTAAAATAATAATTAATCCTCATAAATTAAAAAAAAATTGACCAACATTAAACCAGGAATCGATAAGAAAAAAATTGATTTACATCTTAATGAAAAAGAAAGAAAGCGTTGTTAATTATTTTTTCTTATTTTTTTTTACTTTTAAATTTTTGTTGATTATCTTTACAATAAAATATACGACTACAAGTTGCATTAATATTGAAAGTTTAATAATCAAAAAATATTTTCTTGGAATTGGAGATTGGAGAAAATCTTATAATATTCTAAATTAAATTTTTTTTTGATTATATACCAAAAACGGTATCGGTGGTATTGGAGATCCTATTTGGTAGCGATATTAGAATCTCTGTGTATTTTATAACATTGGCTGATAATTTTATAAATTGAGTAGAGAAATAATTTATAAACTGCTTAAAGAGATTCACAAAAAGCATCCACAATTTGTTTATTTATCATGTTATTTCTAAGATGACAGACCCACAATGATCTTCTCTTTTCAATGCACCTTTTTAGATTAAAATAGGTAAAAATAGTCTTTAAACCTTTTCCATGCACATATTAATATGGCAATAACAGGAGAGAGTAGCAACCTGCTTATAAGGTTCATTGTCATTTGTAACTTTTTCTTTTTATCACAAAGAATATTGAGCTTAAAACTGATCCTTAATAAAAATCCTACTTTGACCCCTTATTATTAAATTAATAAGTTGTTTCTTTTCCTTTTCGGCGCTAAATACTCAGTCTTCTATATATAATTCTTTATGCTATCTATGAGTAAAACCTTTAGGCTTGTGTAATTTATTTCCGGATAAAATATTGAGTTAGCTGTTTTTTAAAATCGAGCCGTTTATCAACAATATTGAAAAAAAATTTTTATTAAAAAGAATATACCTTTAAATTTATATTTATATTAACTAATTTTTGAATAAAAATTTGTATAAATTATATCTTATAAATTTTTTCTTTATATAGTGCTTGCTTTTTCTATCTTAGCAATTTATATATAAAATCAATGAAAAATAAATTTAAGTCCTGCCCGGGTTTTTATTTGACCCGGCTCGGATATTTGATCATTTTTAAAATTTCTTTATTTTGAATAATTTTACCGATTTTTCCAGAGGGAAATTGAAAATATGAACTGTAAATGAATATTGAACTCTATTCAATTTCCCAACTGATATATTAAAATTATCTTTTAAAAATTAGCCCTGCCCGGTTTATAAAATTAATACTACTTTTTGTTCTGGAGGCCAAGCAGATCTTATAATAAATTTAAAATAAAAAACTTGAAAATTTAAAAAAATACAACAAAAAAGTTAAAGGTTACTTGGAAATTTAAATTGTTTGTAAAATTTTAAAAAAAAGTTCCATGATCCCCAGCGATTAGTGCTATCTTTTCCCCAAAATCTTAAGGAGATTGTAGCCGTGTGCTTTGTAATTTTTTATTTTATTTATTTGATATTGAATCATTTGAATGCATTCATAAATTATTACAATAACAAATTATAAAAAGATTGGGCTAGATTTTTATTTTTTATTTAGAAATTTGACCAAAAAAGTTGTTTAGTTCATTTTTTCACATACATATTCATACAAGGTTTGATTAATTTATAAAATATCACTAATTTTTTTTATAATTCTTTGTCAGCCCATAAATATTTAGAATATTATCATTTTCATTCAATTTGAATCAATATTTTAGGCTAATTTATAGATAGTTAGTTTACTGTTTTCTAATAAATATAAATTTTAAGTGTTACTTTAAAAACATTACTCTGAGATATAACAATTGAATTTAACAAGAATGTTTAAGTATGCCAAACAGAAATCAATATTAAATTTACTATATATATATATTGATATAATATTTTATGAAAAATTACCATTATTACAATTAAAATCATAATTAAATTTTGACATTTAATTCTTATTTTTTGTTATGATCCCTAAAGTTAATGTTTAGATGTGGTTGAATTATATTTATACATTTTCTAGCAAACTCTTCCCCTACTATTTTTTGCAAGAAATAATATAATTTTTTTAAAAATACTAATATTGATTTGATTATAAATTGCTTTAATTTATTTTTTAACCATCAAAATTCAGGAGCTGCCGGTCTGTTTGGTTCATTATCCTATGCAGGTTTAATTTCTCTAGGACTGAGTTCTCAAAACACTTTGATGATTATGTTGTTTATGCCAGTTCTGATGGGATTCGCGTAATTTTTATTTGATTAAATATTTTATTATTATGATGGGCCATAATGGATGGCTCCGATGACCCACCATGATGGATTCGGGACTATAATATTTATGGGGTTGGAGTGCCCCAGGCGTTCCCTGATATCACTTCTAGGCTGATACCTAATTGGCCCAATATTATTTAATCACGTCCAAGATTTAATAATAAAAATCTAGCTTAGCCTGAAATTTTTAAAAATTTGAAATTTAAATCATCTAATAAAAATAATTATAAAGTGAGCTAAACATTATATAAAAACAAAATTTATAAATAAAATTAGGGATAATTTTATTAGATTTTTTTTAATATTCTTTTTTGTATATTTATCTTTTACATTAAAGGTTAATATGAAAATTTAATCAGTCTAAAGAGCAGCCAATTTTTGCCTAAAAATAAATTGAATTTACTTTTTATATTAATCTCTGAAAGGCCCCATACCATTTTCTCTTGGGGGCTGGGGAGAGTATTGTTACTTCTTGTGATCATTTATATATTTAGTTGAATTTTTATTTTAAATCGTATAAGCTTTTTCTGGCTACTTAATAAACCTGGATACGTAACAGCGGATGATAGTCAATTAGAAAATGACCAACAGCCGAGTTCCACTAAGGGTAAATTTTCCACTTCTTCACTTGATCTAGTCAAAGATCAGGAAGACGTTAACATTAAGGCGGAAAACTCTGCTGAAGCCCCTAGTAAAGATTTACTTATTATTAAAAATACATATTTAAAAATTGAAAGAATAATTTAATTATAAATTGAGATCTTAATCAACTTGGTTTAAATGAATTAACAATCTTAGTTATAAATAAACTGGAAATATTTTTAATTCTTAGTTTTATATGTATACACACAGTAGCGTAGCCATGAGTGATCCATGGGGGGGGGGGGGGGGGGTTAAAAATTTTTTAAGACCTTCGCCCCCAAACCGCATTTTAAAAATTTGCCAATATTTTGTGCTTTATTAGTGTCTAACCACTATAGTAGCCATAAATGAAAAAAATAGAAAATTTTGGCCAAATTCATGTTTAATACGCGAGACTGAAAGCATTCTGAATATTTTATCAATTTTTAGTCAATTGTAAATTATTTCAATCCATTCGGTATGGAAAGAAGAAAAAATCACCCCCCCCCCTCCCATTTTTTATGATCACTCAATATATCTTATTCTATATTAAAAATAATTATTTTAATTAAATTTTTGCATATAACAAAATTTTGCAGTGAATTTCATTATAGATTTTATTTATTATTAAAATACTTTAGTATAAATAACCCCCCTTTATTTAACTACGTATTCAAAATGTAGAAATTTTATACAGATTATATTAAAATTTATTCTAAATAACTATAATTTAAAAAAAAATAAAATTACAATAAAATATGAGTAATTCTTATACGGTATTTAAAAAAATCTAATTTAACAATTATAATTAATACAAATGAGTATATTAATAAAACATAAATAATTCTTATTAGAAATCTGCAAAAGTAGGAAAATCGGGTTAGGGCTGTGTCGGGCCTAATATTTTTTAAAAAAATTCGAACCGGGTTGGGTCGGGTTTTGGAATTTTTTTTTAAATATATCAATTTTATGTTAAATTTTTTATGAATAAAAATATTTAATTTTATTTATAAAAACTAGACGCCATATAACATATATCTTTAATTTTGAGTAATTATAAAAATGAATTTACATATTTTAATAAATTCAAGTCAGGCCGGCAAATTTTTTAAAATAATTTCGGGCCAGGCCTAGCTTTAAAAATTAGGCCCGATGCAGATCGCTGATTCTTATTGCAAATACAATAATTTTATTAAAAATAGTATAATATATAAATATTATGACTAAGAATTCATTATAATTACGTTTTGAATATAAAAATTATATGACTAAGAACATATTATATAGCAATTTTATGATTTGAATTTATAAAGAGTGCTTTTATTTGAGATTTGACTAATTAATCTAGAATCAAATTTTTATCTAAAATAATATCCTTATAAATATTTTAATAGGGCTAATCCATTTAAACGGTTTTCACCAGTGCTATTTCTTAAATAGGCTTTTAAAAGTTGAAAAAGACCTTTCATTAGTGCACATACTAATCAGTAAGGTCTAAAATAAAAAACAATGTTATAATATTACAGGGAATTTAAAGTGCTATTACACATGGAAAGGGCCTGCAAATCATTTTTTGATCTTAAAAAGTACGCTATTCTGTCAAGATTTTTATGCCAAAATTCGACATCACATAGTAACTTATCATATGATACTGATAAACATCAGAGTAAAACTCTGAGATTTTCTTAATATACTCTCGTGTTTCAAGTGTAATCAACAATTCAGACTCAACCGGCAAAAGAAAATAAAAGCTGTTTAAAATAAAATTGTGACTAATAAATCTTTCCTATGATTGAATGTATCAATAAGGGGAGTATATTTATTTTATAAAAATCCTCAATCGTAGATGCATCAATATTTAAGCGAATGGACTATCTAGAAACTACTCTAGATTTAAAATTTTTAATCCCAAACATATTAGCGATTACCTTTACTTTCTCATCATATTTATCAAATTAAATGATTTTTCTTTTAAACTATCTAATTAGTTTAACAATATAAATTTTATTATTAAATTTACAAATATCAAATTTAACTATGTCAGAAAAAATTTATAATATATTTTTATTGTTATTTAATATTTTGCATATAATTTTTAATATATATTTTTAAATCATGTTATTTAAAATTGAAAATTCTTATTTGCTTTTTTAAAATATATTTCATTTTGATATCATATATAATTTTATTTATAAATTGAAACTGTTTTTTAAATAAAATTATTCGCAATAAGAAAAATATTTAATCGGAGGTTATGGGGAGGGGGTTTTCAACCCCAAAACTCCCCCTTGTCTACGCCATTGTATACACACCAGTATTATAATACATGGCTTATGGTGAATCTTAAAATTATAAATCGCCTTAAATTACCCCTGGGTGGTAAAGGTGGGAAAAAATAACTCGATTAATATATTGGGGCATAACTCACTTATATTTTAAAACTGTTATAGCTAACTAGAATTTCTATATGAATTCAACGAAAAATAAAAAAATTTAGATGTAAAGATGCCAAAAAACTGAAAGATAGATTACTATCATTTAGCATATTTATTTTTACGAATGAAAAGATCACTATTATTTAGCATATTTATTTTTACGAATGAAAATCAAAAATACTAAATATTTTGATTAGAAGTAAATGAAATATTAAAAAGGTGAATTAGAATAAAATAGGAGGCTTCTGAAACAATAAGGTCAAATGGACAATTATCTTTGTAGTAACAACTTTATATCTGGGATGTTGTCATGCCCCAGTATACCACTCCAAGGGTTAACCGAATTTTGCTAATTTTTTAATTTGTTTTAATTAGCCAAAAATTTTCAATTAAATTTTTATTTAATTATCAGATTTATACCCGCCACTTCCTCCCAAATCCAAAACCACATTCGATGATAATAAAATTTTACAACCATCCAATTCCAATATTCCTTCATCTAGATCAGGAACTAATACTAATTCTAGTAAGTCCAATTTTGGCGATATAAACACAACTAAAAAATCTCCCTTGCTTCCTAAAAAAGATGAAAGGCTTTCTTATTACAATTCGAGAAGGACTTTCGATTTTACAGGCCGAATTGTTATGATTTTTCGTTTGTTGCCTTATATGCTGCCTCTTGGGATAGTTTATTTTTCGGAATATTTTATCAATCAGGGCTTGGTAATAAATATAATTATATATTCAATATTTTTTTTTATAGAAAATTGATTTTGTTATAGTATAAAATTACCATAATTAAAATTTCATTTCTTAAATTATCTTATGTAAATGTGGTAATGAAAGTTAATAAGATTACATTTATATTTTAAAAAAACAATAAAAAATTATATACGTTAAGTGTACTTAATTTTTTTTCAAAAATAAATTTGGTAGACACATAAATAATGAAACAAAAAGTTCCTTGCAAATTTATTGCATTCTTCTTTTTTTTATTTCCTAGTTTGAACTGACTTATTTTAGGGGCATATGGTTGGATCACTCTAGTCAATATCGATGGTAAGCCATATTATTATTTTCTCATCAAGTTATTAAAATAATTACACTTACACACACGTTTGGTTTCTATAGCTCTTATCATTTAGCACAGTTAAAAGGTCTAATTTTTTATGGAGTTCAAAATAATTTTCCTTTTCTGGTAATTTCGCTGCCTGTCTTACTTGTAGTGAGCCATTTAACAACACTATTTGCTTGCATTTTCCATACTCATATATTATTTTTGGACGTTGTAAATAAATGTATTATATAGGTATCTGGTAGACTATCAACTCGGAGTATTTATATCTAGATCATCTTTCAAAGTCTTGCCCATGCCATATCTATGGATTTTCCCCTGCCTTCAGGTTTTTAGATTTACTTTATTTCGTGTATTTTTTTTTTATTAATGTAAAGTTCAAATTTAAAAATATATTATTTCAGAGTTTTATTTTAATGCGAAATAAATATTTTTTGCTTATAATCATCCCCATAAATTTATCTTCTTAATTATTAAATTTCAACATAACATTCCTTAGAGAATAATGTAGTTTACCTGCCATATAATTAATCATTATTAAAAATATTTAAACTTTAGTAAATAGTATGCCAAAATGACATTTATGCTTCAAATTGATCGCTTTTAACTGTACTGAAATATTTATTCTATGGGTTGGGGTTGTAGAACGGTAAAAGATATTGGTAACATGTGGTTTGCTTAAGGTCAGTGGTTTAGCCAGGATTTTCTCATGGGGGTTTTAAAAATTTGTTGGATGGTGAAGTCCCCAAATCTCTCATTTTTTATGATCATTTAATTGCTTTATTTTAAATATTTGTATATAACAAAATTTTAGAGAGTATTTCATTATAGATTTTATTTATTATATATAAATATTTTAGCATAAATAACATTCCTTAATTTAATCATATATTTATTTATATTATTTAAAATATATTTCAATATTAGATATTTTATACAGATTATAATAATAAAAGGTTTATTGTGTAAAAACTAAAAAATGTAATTTAACAATTACATAAATAAAAGTAATTCTTATGAAAATAATGATATTTAATAATATATGACGATATTATCAAAATATAATTAATACACAGTACTTTGATTAAATATAGTATTAATTGCAGAAATTTTAAGAGTTAATACAAAAATTATATAAATGTTATAGTTAGGAATTCATTTTGCGAAATTTTTTTATTATAAATATTATATATTAAAACTAATTTGATCATATTGCAATTTTTCGATTTGAATTATAAAGAGAACTATTCTCTTAGATTTTGCTAATTCATCTAGAATCAAATTTTTATCAATAATCTCCTTATAAATATTTAATAGGGCTAATCCATTTAAACGTTTTTGTGCGGTGTTATTTTTTTAAATAGGGTTTTAAGCATTTTATACTGGAAAAAACTTTTCATTAGTGCTAGTACTAATTGGTACGGTAGCTAAAAGGTTAATAATGTTTTGATATTAGGCAGAGAATCTAAAGTGCAATTACACCTGAAAATGTCCTGCAGAGCATTTTTTAGTCTCAAAGAATATCTATTCCGTCAAGATTTTTATAACAAAATTCCCATCACAAAGTAACTTATCATTAGGGCTGTGTCGATCCACATATTTTTCACCGATCCTATCCAATATTTTGCTATATTGCTTCAAACCTGATCCGATACCGATCCGATATTTATACTGATTTTTCACCACCCCCTTTTGAACCAAATGTAATTAAGAAATCAATATTTTATATGCAAAAAATTGAATTATGCAAAATTATGCAAAAAAATGAATTGTTCATTTAATTTAATTTTTTTATTTCTACAAATAAAATTATAATTAAAAATATGGATATATTTAATAATATATCCATTTTATGTTGGTATAAATTATATTGTAATATTTAATATATAAAATTATAATATAGTAGATTTTTTTTAAATAAATATGAGAGCCTCTAGATTTTCTGGCAATACCTTCTACGATATGGACTCTCTATATCTCCTGCCGTACTGAAGACAGACTTAGATGATTCCGCAGATAACGCATTTTGCAAAATTATATTAGATTTTTATAAAATATTTTTATAATTCAAATACCAAATTAAAAAAAAATTTTATTTAAAGTATAAATAATAAAATTGGCATTATTATTTGAAAAGATTTAAAATAAATAAAACTTTGGGTGTTCCTTTCTATTTTTATAAAAAAACTTTTAAAATACTATAAAGCTATTTTTAAAAAAGTAATAAAATTTAGAGGGTGTTGTGCATTTGCATTGCTTAAAAAAAAATTATTTAGAAAATATTATAATAATGTAAAATATATATACATAACATAAAATAACAAAAAAAGATTGTTATCGGCCCGATCCGATTTTGAAAAATGCTAATTATCGGTGCCAATCCGACGCGATATTTAATATCGGCACAGCCCTACTTATTATCTACTAAATCATCAGCGTAAAACTAAGATTTTCTTAATGGCCTCTCTGTTTTAAGTGTAATCAACAGTTTAGACTCAACCGGAAAAAGAAAATAAAATTATGATAAATAAATCTTTCCTTTAATTGAAATAAAAATGCATTTATAAGGGGGAATAAAAATTTTTATTTTATAAAAATCCTCAATCGTAGATGCATCAATATTTGAGCGATTGGATTGTCTAGAAACTACTCTAGGTTTAAAAATTTAAATTTCAATCATATTAGCAATTTCCTTTACTTTCTCATATATTTCATGAAATTTTTCATCCACATTCTCTCTGATATTTGTTATTTCAACAATATCCTTTGCTCTATAATAACCTCCCTTATATCCAAATCAATTTTTTGTAGCATTTTGCTAAAATCATATGTATAATTAAATAAAAAATAAACACATTGAATCTGCTTAATCTTTTTCCTTGCTTAAAATATAAATTCCAGTGCTGCAAATACAACATCATATAGTTCAAGAGTTTCAACGACTCTTGTCTTTCAATGAATCTAGTCGGACAAAATCATTTTAATTTATTTTTTGATTCTTTAAGTCAATATCATGATACGTTCGAATAAACAGCTCCCTCTTTTTTGATGGTGTGAAATAATTAATAGGTATAAGTTGTGTCTGTGCTTGACATTTGTTGAAATAGGAAAAAATTAATGATTGTTTTTTCATATTGACAAATATATATTTTTATAATGGAATATGACTAAGGGTGCATTCACAGTAGAAAGCGACACGACAAACACAACACGACAAACGACAGAGCAGCTGATGTGTCGTAAGCGACATAGCATTCATAGTGGTTGCGACAAGCATATTTTTATTTTTTTTTAAAAAAAGGTATCTATACAACTTTAAAATTATTTCTATTATATCCTTATATGAAAAGGAGAAAAAATAATCTGAATGTTAGAAAAGAAGAGGAAGGAGAATTCTCAGTACTATTCCCAAAACTTATAAATAATCCATCCTACATCAGTAGAAGAAAAATTGATGATAAGTTTATATTAATTTTATTTTATATAATCAAAATTGCCTAGATATTAGGGAACAGGATGTAACTATCCATCGCCTTTCAAGGGCCAGAAGAATGGTGACATGCACCTTTGGTATATTGGCAACTAAATGGTGTATTCTTAATCGAGCCTTGGATGTCAATGTCACCAATAGCGAAACAATTATAAAAACTTATGCACTATTACACAATTTGGTTATTGATAAAGAAAACATAGATCTCTACCCCAAGAATACTCAAGATCCTAAACAAAATAATTATTTATAGAATCCTCAATCTATAAAAAAACCTCTCAAAGGTTTCTAAAGATTTAGAGATGCCTTTTCTGAATATTTTTATAGAAATAAATTATCATAGCAATTATAGCTTTATAATTTAATAAATTTTAAAAATATTACTCTATTTTTTTTATATTGATTTGTAATTATTTAATAAAAAGAAAGTTTATTTATTATATGCGTCTTAAATATGATTAAATAATATAAAGGCTCTTCAAAGAAATAATAACAATGCAATATAATATTTTTTATTCATGATCACTTTCATAATTTAACAATAAATCAAAAATAATTTTAACAAGTTTTTTCTTTCCCCTCATATCTTTTTGCAAAGGTTTGCTCAAACATAACTCCAAGAGTTTGTTGATAATCTATTTTCTTTTATTTTTTCTATTTCAAGAATTTGCTCAAATAGATCTAGTTTAAAATTATAAATATATTTGCAAATGCAAATTACCTTGATCAATATCCCTCTTTTTAATTAAATTTTGCAAGATAAATTTGATTCTATACTAGTTGATGGTGATGATAAATATATATAATATTATTTATATAAAATATGATTACAATCATTCCTTAAAAATGTAGCTTCACTACTTTTCTCTATGCAGGGGATTTCAATGGCTATGTATTAATAAAACCTTAAGAAAAATTAGTATATTTACCATCTTCATATTGATAATTTTCATTACCACTCATTTGCTCATACAGTGCTCTAGGAATATTTGCTTCATCAATTTTAGATATAACAGGATTTGTTTTTTTCAAATTGGTATACTGAATCCATGGCTCTATAGTTTTTATGTTCCCTCATAAAGCAATCTCTTAGATTTTTCCATGCTGATTTGGCCATCTCTACTGCAAAAGAAAAATATTACAAATTAATATACTCTTTAATTACCTGTCTCAATATTGTTTTCAGCTGATGGTGTCTAATGGAGTTGATCAAATCTTCTTTATTGATTTTCTATAAAAAATTATTAACATAATATTTATTTATATTCTAATATATATATAACATTTATTATTTTAATAGCATTTCAAAAATTACTTGCAAATTTTCTTTTTCGGCCATGTAGTTATGTCGCTTTGGAAAAAAAAACAAAATGATTTGTAACTTGATATCTATGTTTAATGCGACAAATTTGGCAGGAATGTCGTGTCGCGTCGCAAAAGCTCACTATGAATAGTCATTGGTAATTACATATGTCTGTATTTTGTCATGTCGCTGTCCAAGCAAGTTTTGTGCAATGCAAAATAATTTAAAATTTATTTTAAAAAAATATATAAATAATCAAATACTGTAGATCAATTATTATTTATAATAAATTAAAAACATAAAAATAGTTGTTTTTTATATTTCAAGCATTTATTATCAATTTAGTAAATTATCTAATTTTAAAAACCCCGCCCATGCCTACGCCACTGCTTATTATAAATTCCCCCAAATATTAAGATTTTTTTCGAAAGAGCTCTTTTGATTTGACGAATATATGGTTTACATCATGTCGCAATAAAAATCGAACAAAAAATTTATATTAGACAATGGTGGTTTTACTGGGGTGGCCTATATCAAGTCCCGATTAAAATCTAATAGAAAATGTGCCTAGGCTTTTTTTAAAAAAATACTGGCACATTTAGACCTAATAACAAATGCCATTTGATTGGTATGTTCATATGTGGGAAATTTTTCAAAAGAAAGGTATGAAACCTTGATGAACTCTACTAAAGGAAGTAGAGCTATCATTAGCTCTAAAGACAATGTAACCTGGTATTAAGGCTGAAATGGCGACTAGTTTGATTTGGATATACTATTTTTTTTAACGTATCATATCTCATAATTTTTGGTCAGTATTAATAAAACTATCTTGAATAGTTATGCCTTATAAATATGTTATAAATGTAGATAAATTAAGATATACTAATATCATGGATTTTAACTTATTTTAATTATATACGGAAAAATTGTAGTTCTGCGCTTTAGATGTAGGGTAGTCTATTGAAGCTTTTTTATTCACTTTTATACACGTTTTTTATTTGTTAATGAATGAATGAAAGAAAGAATAGTGAATCATAATTAGAGCAACTTTTACTATTTATAGAATCCTCCAACATTTAGTTATTATAAAAAAAATCTTTTTGAATAGCTTATTAACGTGTGTATCTTCTTAGCCAACGTTCACTATTTCTTCATTCCGACCATTTGGATAGTGTTTGTCTTGATTTTCTTCGAAGGCTTTATAGGTGGTGCAGCATATGTCAATACTTTTCACAAAATTGCTTACGATGTAAGTAAAACATTCAATAAGTTTATAATATAAGTTATACAAATTATTTTAAAATAATGTCATTTATGACCATGGACCCGGAACGAATTAAACCGTTATGATTACCTGTCAGAAACTGAAACTGACCAGAAATGAGCAGATGTTTTGTCTGTCCCAAAATCATAATAAAATCCTAACCTTTATATCATTACCCCATTATTATGCATACGGGTTTTAGAACTTGCTTTTATAAACATCAGATAAATATGATAAATGATTTAGTCCGAAATTTTTTTAAAAAGGTTTTGCCAACCTGGCCCGAACCCGAAATTTTTTTAAAAAAATTTACCCACCCGGCCCGGCCCCAATTTATTTAAATATATAAATTAATTTTTATAATTACTCAAAATAAAAGACATATGTTATATGTCGTTTAATTTCAATAAATAAAATCAAATATTTTTATTTTTCATAAAAAATTTAATATAAAATTGATAAATTTAGATATATTTTAAAAAAATTCCAAGGTCCGACCCGACCCGGCCCGAATTTTTTTTAAAAATATTAGGCCCGGCCTGAACCCGATTATTTTAAATAGAATTAGGCCCGAGTTTGGCCTGGCCCGAAGGGGCCGGGTACGGGCCGGGCCTAACTTTGCATATCTCTAAAATAATTACCGTATAGCACGAAGACTGCAGCGAAAGGGAATTTTGTTTGGGAGCAGCTTCTCTAGCCGATACCACAGGTATATCATTGGCCGGATTTACATCTCTTCCGGTTCATAATTATTTTTGCTCCAAGTGACTGGATAATTCTATCGATTAAAAGAGTATATCTCGGGGAATTGCAAACCTATTTTACAGAAAAATTATAATCTTACGTATTTAATTTTTTATAGAATAAAAATTTGTAGATTCCAGAGCATAATATTTTTGTTTCTTTCAAAATATGTTAATGCATTATAATAATTTGTAAATATGAAAATATATCACCTAATTTTGTTTTTTGCATTAAAGAAGATAGTCTAATTTTGATTTTTACTAAATTATAGCCCTTATATAATTGTAGGTAAATTGAAATTTTGTTAATGATCGTATATTTCGAATATATTATAGATTAAAAATAATTTGAATTGTCTTTTTTTATTTCACCTTAATATAGGTTTTATTACTTTTAATATAAAATTTTGGAAATATAATGTTTATAATTTTAGAAATTTTATTTCAATCGATTTTAACCAGTCTTCTCTTTTTTTTTCAGTTGGGTAAAAAAATTATATTTCACAAACCAAATTTAATTTACAAATGCACATGTATTTTTAATAATGCTGTTTATATTATGCATAATATGTAAAGTATTTAAATATTTATATATATAAATTAATCAAAGTTGTATATCTATAGCCTTGCACGTTCCGTGTATTAGTAATTATTATACATATTATATAATTCCAAATATTTATTTGTTTTATATCTTATATTATAATTGGCGAATTATGCTTTCTGTATTTATGAAAATATATTAAAACAATTATTTTGCACAATCTTCTAATAATTATTACATTAACATCACATTTAAATTGTCTCTTAACATTATTCGTATATTGTATATAATTTTAGGAATCTTACTTTTCGCTAATTAATAGTATATATTTATAGTAAAATCTACCTTAGCACCTTTAAAATATAGTATAATATTTATTAAGTTCTTCGGTCAAACGTTGTTATAATACTTATTCATTCCTTTAATAAATATCTCAATTAATTTTAGACGTATTATGCATATAAAAAAATATCAATCATAGAATCGTAACATGGAATTTAATTACAATTTATTTATTCAAATTTGCAATACACAGGGTTGACATTGGATTAATTTGACTGCTCAAATGCATAAAATATGTTATTTGCGACAAAATATTTATAAATATATTGAATACATTTTTATAATTCCGTAAAAATTTATAAATATACATTGTTTCAATCAATTTCAGTATTCGACCAGTTAAAGCCAAATGATTCAATTTTTACTCGATTCAAATATAAAAAAGCAAGGATATACTCTAGTTGAGAAAAAAATACTAGAAATCTCCTAGATTTCATATTGTTGGATCTTACCATTAGTGATTTGATAATGCTTGTTTTATAACTCTTAGATGCTGTAAAATCAAATTCTGTAATAAAATTGCATATTTAACTCAAAATATGTAGAAAGCTGTTCTATAAAAATTTGCTGGAATGAGTGTTAATGCAGGTTTACAATGTTTTATAACCCTTCATATTTCGACATCTTTCATAAAGAAATTACCAATTGATCTTTAAATTTAAAATATAAATTGTTAATTTAATGAGCGCCAAAATTATTAATTAACATTCTATTGTGATAAATTTGAAAAAAAAGAAAAATTCTACCTACCAATGCTTTTTTGAAATTATGTATTGCTAATAATGGTAATTTTAAAATTTCAACCAACAGTGAATTTCTTTTAAGTTTTACTATTTATAATAGTAAATAGGGTAGTGCGACCCTAAAAGACAAACATCACTCAACAAAATTAAAACTACTTGATAATATTGAATAAATAAATATCTCATTTTATTCCACTTATTTACACTGCTATACAAAAATAATTTTAAAAAAATTGTACGTTTTCACCAGTATTAATTTTTATGAGCTTTCCCATGAGTCGCTTTTGAGCTGCAAAATATTAAATATTTAAAATATAATATATATTATTTTAACTACTTTTTCGATAAAAATAAGCCATATTGGATTAAAATTGTAAAAGGATCCGTGTGCCTAAAAAGTGCATTGTGAGACAAGACCCATAAACATTTTATAGATAATTATATAATATTTCTTGCACTTGAATTCATTAATCTTAATTTATATCTTATTTCTGTTGCATAACCTAAGTTTGTTTTTTCCATAACAGCTAGCAAGGAGATTTTCATTAATATATTAATGATTTCATCATTTGTGCCTTATTTTTTTCTTAATTTCTTACCGTATTGAAATTTCAATAAGCAAAAGTAAATTTTTAAAATAACGCCCAAAAAGTCATGAACTTATGAAAAGTAAACCTAGATTCAATAAAATTTAATTATTTTTTTTCATTCAAATTAAAAATAATTTTATATAGAATAGGGTTTAATCTTTTATATAAAATAGTTATTGGAAAATTAAACCTTTACTATTTTTGATAATTGCATCATTTAATAAGTTATTTTGTGGGTATAAATCATTGTTTTATAAAAATATTATATTTGATCCGATATTAAAAAGAATGTAGACACGTAAGCATTATTTAGTTATACATATTTGGTTAAAAAATTAACCATTAAAGTTGAGTACTCTAGAAAAAAACCCGTAAGGCTCATAAGATCGGTCTCCTCATTATTATCTAACATCGCTAGTGGAAATCATAAGAAACATCTATTATCTCTAAATAGAACTTATTTTATTGATCTTTTTAAAAATTTGTTGCTATCAAACAGCCCAGGTAAATCGTTTCTATGGATGTTTCATATTATACAAATTTTTATCTTATAATAGTTTTAAAGGGAATAATTGTGAAAATATATAATATTCATTAAATAAGATAATGTAAAAAATCAGCTATTCTAGCTTGGGAAAAGTTATTATTTTAAATTCCCTTTTAATCACAAATAAATGAAACTAAATAATCTTATAAAAAATGATAATATGTTTTTACATAGACACTTCTACGGGTTATTACCAGATTTGGAAAAGGACATTTCTTTTATGTATATTAATAAGCATGAAAATGAATTTACAAAAAGTCATATTTTTAAAATTTATTCTATATATAAATTGCATTAAATAATAAAAAAAACATAAAATTCGTGTATTGTGCACATTTAAAAAAAATTTGTATTCAATTTTTCTCTTGCACATCTTCATAATATTTGGGTTTCTTCTGAATAAATTCAGAAATCTCATAAAAACGATTTGATGTTGATTGACTCTACAACCATCTATTTCTTTCATTTGGCCATTGACTGTTGATTAGAGAAACTATAGTTACTATATTAGCATTATGAACTGGTATAGAAAAAAAAGAAATTTACTATATTCAGGGATTGGAATATCTAAATATTCAACTCATTTTTGGTCAAGATAAATTTTGTAACAACTGATTTTATTTATAATTTAAGTTTTAAGGTTACAAAATTGATCAAATATTTTTATGCAAATATTTTTTAAATTATTATTATGAACAGAGACAAAGAGAGGCTATTATAATATTCCTAGCTGATAGCCCGTCAAGAATGACGGGGAATCAGAATTTTCTTATTTATTCAATGATGGATGAATAATAAATTTTACCTTTATTCGATAATGAATGAATCAGAAATTTTTCTATCTCTTATGAGGTGTGATTTATAAATTTAATTTTTTTACACAAAACTCATCTAGCAAGAATATCTTTTTTATATAATAAATTACAAATACAGATGAATAAAAATTTAGTTTAAAAGATTTTTTATTGTACACATATATTAAAATTACTAACCAAATACTTCATAAACATAATTTATAAAAAATAATGGAAAATTTTAAAATAACTTCTCATCTAAATAATATAAATCTCTGAATCACATCTCATAAGTTAGGAAAATTTTTGATTCATTCATCATCAAATAAAGGTAAAATTTATTATTCATCCATCATTGAATAAAGAAGAAAATCTGATTCCCCGTCATTCTTGACAGGCTATCAGCTAATAACTTATATTTTTGATAACAGGCTCTTAAAAAATCCCTAAAATATATGTGAAAGGCAAGGTCAAAACAGGCGTCATATTTTTTTGTTATATATGCTAAAATAAAAATGGATTAATATTTCTTCCATATATACACTTCACAATGGCTTTCTTTATTTTGTGTACAACAATTTCTTGAATCCAGCAATTATCAGAATTTTTTTTAAATTGATTTAAATAAGGCATATCTGTGGTTTGCCCATTTAGATTCAAATTAAGTCAGATGGAAAATGAAATAATTCAGTTATTGAAATTAGAGACCTTCTTGGGCTTGATTTATTCATCAGCCTCCAGCCTAGGTCAACAGTAAAAATAATTTGCAGGCCCAGTCCATATTTAATATATATTTTTTTTTATTTCAGCTAATAGTCATATCAACTAACGGCAATTTCAGGGATTCGAACCGAACCCTTAGAAGAAAACCCGGGTCTTTGGGGAAAAAATCTGAACCCGAACCGAATCTGAAAATTATACAATTTCCAAAACCCCGAACCGAACCCGTGAATTTGAATCCGGGTTCAATTTATTGTTTAAAATCATATATTAAGATATTTGTGTAAATAGAAATATTTGTAATTTAATTGAGATTTTAAATATTTTCAAATTTCCAATTAAGTGTGTTAATAAATTTTAAACAACTTAATTCATATACGCCATTTTTTAAATTTATTTTATTCTCAAAGATTCCTATTGGAGTGTTAATAAATTTTAAACAATTAAATTAATTTACGCCATTTATTTTTAATTTTTAACTTATTCTCAATGTTTATTAAGAGTAAAATGAAAGTGAACAAGTCAAAGTAAAAGCTATTGTATTGAATATTGTTAATTTAAGGAAATATGTCATTAAATTTTTAAAATTGATACATGACTATGCTTTGTATTTTTAACTATATTTTGCCTATAAATAAAATAAAAAATGTATTTTTTATGCCAAATTTATGTCTAGTTTTTTGATTTAAATATTTAATTTTTTTTATCAATTCAAAAATTCTTAAAACCGAGCTGAACCCGGAACCAAACCCGGGTTCAAAAATATTTCCCAGAACCGAACCCACCTATTTTTATAATATCTTAAACCCGAACCTAACCCGGGCAAAAATTTTGCCGGGTTCGCATCCCTGGGCAATTTTTTACAGTCTACATATTTTTTAAAAAACTTTATCGTGAAAAATTTTTAACATAACATACGAAAATCGCGAATCCATATTTCTTAAACAAAAACTTCAACTAGAAATTTTTAAACACAATTATATTTGTTTTTTAGGTACATATTCATAATTAAATTAAGCTCTTTTTAGAGCCTTCGATACTTATAATATATATATTCATCTTTATTTAGTAATTTTATATATTTTTATATACTTGTTTTAATATTTTAGTGTTTTATCATTCTTTTAAATAAATAAAAAGGTTTTATTTAATAAAATATTAAACCCAAGCCCATCATAAGTTTCAAAAATTTTGCCCAAGCCCATATCCGAAAATTTAATTTATTTTTTTAAATGAAAATAAACAATATTTGTGTATTTAGACAATCACTTTGTTTGCAATACTGACATTTATTAATATTCGAAGAAAAAAAATTCAATATATTTTTAAGTTAGTCACAGTTTAATAGGCCAAATTTAAATGGAATTTTTTTAGGCTTTTATCAAAAACCCTGTCCTGGCCCAGGCACGTTAATAATTATTTAATACCTGACACCCC